GAGAGAACATGGCTACAGAACCTGGCTGGAGAACCTGGATAACCTGGCTGGAGAACCTAGCAAGAGAACATGGACACAGAACTTGGCTGGAGATTGTGGCTAGAGATCCTGGCAAGGCTGCTGATCAACTGAACGCTGTCTCCGTGTCATTCCTTCTTCGCCGACTCCGTCCACACCTTTGGGGACCACTGGACCTGCTGGGGTTGGACCCCAGCAGTTTTTAATTATAATATGTATTAGAGAGAGAAAGCGAATGTGGCTAAATGTCAGCAGTGATGAATTTAGGTGAAGGATATACAGGTATTCATTGCACTATTCTTTCAACTTTCCTGTAGACTTGAAATGTTCAAAATGCAAAGCTGGGGGAGAAAGGATACAATACTCACACCGCCGACCACCAGTTACTCCTAAACCCAAATACGACCGCCCTTCTGAGCTGCTCTGCGCAGCGGGAAGGAGGACGAGGGGCCACGTGTGTGGGGGACAGGGTTCAATGCCGACCCAGCGTTGGGATTTTTGATAAATTATTCACTAAGTCATTCCACTTGGGTTTTTTAATGTCCATTTTACATGTGAGCCTGACACTTAAGGAGATCCGGTATCTCATACAAGGACTCCGGCTGGAAGTGCCCGGGGTGCACATATTTACTTAAACATATGTCAACAACAAATAACAGTCGGGTCAGATGTTTAAACAAACCTCAGTCAGTATACAGAGAGCAGAGACACAGTCCTCGGACAGCCACGAGCTCTCAGCGGACTGCGTTCCGCCCTCAGCTGGGGGTCATCGGAAACCTCCTTCAGCAGCTGTCCTGACAGCAAACAGGCAAGAGCGCTGAGATCTCTGTTCCCACAGACCATGGGCTCGCGCCTCTCCGTCCCACGGGCTCCATGACCTGGGAAGGGATGCTGTGTGGTTATCTCTGCGTGACTCATCCCAGCGAAGTCGGCCTGAAGGGGCATCGGCCCAGAACCAGAAAGGCAGCCCACCAGGGCTGCGAGGTCCCACAGTCCAGATCCCATGGAACAGATGGAAGTAGCCGTCCAGGGAGGGAGGGAAGGAGGGAGGGAGGGAGGGCGGGCAAGGCTAGGGACTAGGGAAAAGGAGCTTCAATGAAACAGGCAGAAACAGTCTCATAAATGAACAGCCCAGCCCTAGCCGGTCTGGCTCACTGGATAGAGCGTCGGCCTGGGGACTGAAGGGTCCCAGGTTCGATTCCGGTCAAGGGCATGTACCTTGGTTGTGGGAACATCCCCAGTAGGGGGTGTGCAGGAGGCAGCTGATTGATGCTTCTCTCTCATTGATGTTTCTGACTCTCTATTCCTCTCCGTTCCTCTCTGTAAAAAAATCAATAAAATATATATTTTTTAAAAAAATGAACAGCCCATCCTAAAAGAGAGGCTCCCCTTTCTAGTGTTTGGGAAGATGTGGGTGCGGATTACCACCCCAAACTTAGCCTTTTGATCTTTTTAACCAGTGAAGTTGGAATGGCCTTGACTATCAGTAGCTTTACAGCTTTAAGGGCATTCCCCGTCACCAACCTCACCGAGTCTCCTGAAGCCTAAAAACCAAGCCACCGGCTTAGAAAGCCGGGGTCCATCCAAAGGGAGGCAGCCGGTGAGGCGGTGGGCAGGGCAGGGCTCCGCCCTCAGCCTCCTGGGCACACCTGCCCCACCCTCCAGGCGCCCACAGCTAGGATGAGACTTCTCTCAGGAGTGGGTCTTTTTTCCCTACCTCAAACCTGCACAGGTAGCACGGAAATGGGAAGTAAGACTTCTGAGGCAGAACAAGCCAGAACACTTCTGAAACCGTCTTTATCTCTACGTGCAGGACAGTCCGCTCTTGGCTGGATCACAAAGCCTGGGGGAAGACAGGCAGGACTGCAGCCCCAGGATGGGGGGGGGAGGGGGTTGGAGTGTGGAGGCGGAGAGGAGGGCCACAGAGCTTAAACCCTACAACCGAACGCCTAAGCACCAAGCACAGCAGAACCCAGAAGAAATGTCTGTTTATGCTCTTTCCAGATTAAAAAAAAAAAAAAATGAGTCATGTCCAGCATGCCCAGCCAAATTACTGGGCATCTGTGAGGCAGAGCCTCAAGGGTGAGGGTGTCAATTGGGTGTGGGGCCCCACCCCTCCCGGACTCGCTTTCTGCCGCCACCAGCGGGCAGCGCCCCCAGGAGAAGGGCTAATGAGCAAGATTTTGAGTCAAGACCAGTCTGATCCCAGGAAGGAGGGAGGAGGCAGCTGGCATCCGAGTTTCTTTTGTAAAATAGGAACGTCAGGGCGACCACTGACCAGTCTTCAGCATCACTGCTCTGCATGAAAAAGCGACGTCTTAGAAACGTGTCTTAGAAACACGTCACTTTGGGGAATGCACAGGAGACCCTGTGATTCCCGGGAAAGTGCAACGTTTTGGAACATTCGTCTGATATCAGGATTCTTTTGACATAAGCCAATGAAAGCCTCATTTTCCTCTCAAGATGTTTCCTCCTGGGAGCGGGGAGATACTGAGTCAGGCTGCAGTCACGGCCCTCCCACACAGAAGCTAGGGCCTCAGCGTGTGAACCGGCCACATAGTTGAAAGTCACTGCCATGGCCAGTCTTCCCATACTTCCAACACAAACAGAAGGGAATTCATTCTGTCTCGATTCAAAAAATTTTAATCTAATTACTGAAACTTGGAGGGGGGGACCCTTCTTGATCATTTTATTTCCTCTCTGCTAAAAACTGAAAGAAGTCCTAATTCTAACAGAATATTAAAAGGCCAACGTCACCACTTTCAAGGACTGCATTTTAAAAACGTGTTAAAAATACATGTACTTACAAGGAACTGCTGAATGAACCTATTAACGGTTTGTAAGCATGTGAAAATACGTTTCGTCTTATTCAAAGTAGGAGAACGTGCCAGGGGTGGGCAAACTTTTTGACTCGAGGGCCACAGTGGGTTCTTAAACTGGACCGGAGGGCAGGGACAAAAGCATGGATGGAGTGTTTGTGTGAACTAATATAAATTCAAAGTAAACATCATTACATAAAAGGGTACGGTCTTTTTTTTTTTTTTTTAGTTTTATTCATTTAGTTTGCCCACAATTGTGTTAGCCTCAAAAAGAAAATATAACCTAACTCAGTTCTTAACAGTGACACACGCAGGGGTGGGCAGCAGCAGGTCTGAATCCCAGGCGTCAGGAGGCAGGTCCCTGGGTTCAGGCTCGCTTTCTGATCCCCAAGTCCATGAGGATGTGCCATGATGTGGTCGGTGATGGGGCGCTGACAAGGTGGTACAACGTGCCCTGCGCCACGGTGACCTTCTGAGTGGATTAAGCCACAGTGATCAGCAGAACCGCACGTCTCTTCCCACACGAGCCACTGCAGGCCGGCGTGGCTGCCCCGGGGTGTTCAATGACGACACGTGCGCTCCATGGCGGTGGGATCCTGGCTGAGCGGATGAGAATGAAACCGGCGGCGGTTGCAGCCGGGATCAGGCCGGAAGCCTCGGCTCCCGGTTACAGGGAGCCTCTACCCGGCCTTGTAAACAAGGAGGCATTCACTGTCCCCGACAGGAAGTGCGGAGACAGGCAGGCTCCGGGGTGGGTGACAGCTCAGCCCCTGGGCGAGGACCCAGCTGGTCACAGCCTGCGAGCCGGGGCTGCCAGACCTGAGGGTCACTGTGGGAGTCAGTTGGCTACCCAGCAGGCCCAGCCAAGTCCGTCTTAAGGAGAGGGACCGTTTCCGCCTTGTTTATTTTTCTAGGAAGGAAGACACCTTTCCAGGAAGAACCCTGCAAACTGCCCTCAAGCTCGCTGGCCAGACCTGGGTTACACGCCCCTCCTCCAATCGGAGACCAGGAAAAAGGGGCCACCTTGCCTGGTTTCAGCATTTAAGACTCACTCCCTGGTGGTGCCCTCCCCTGGGAGTGCACATTTGTATGAACCTGAATCAGGGCTCTTTTTAAAATATATATATATTTTTATAGATTCTTTACAGAGAGGGAGGGAGAGGAATAGAGAGTTAGAAACATCGATGAGAGACAAACATCCATCATCTGCCTCCTGCACGCCCCCTACTGGGGATGTGCCCGCAACCAAGGTACATACCATTGACTGGAATTGAACCTGGGACCCTTGAGTCCGCAGGCTGACGCTCTATGCACTGAGGCAAACCGGTCAGGGCCAGAATCAGGGCTCTTTACAAGGACGAGGGGGGATGGTCCTGTTTAGGGGCAGATACAGCCCCGCATGGCCACACCCTGCACCGCCGTGGGCAGCAGGGAGTAAACCGGGTGACCAATCCTTCCCCCCAAAATATCTAGATCCCGTTTTATGGTTTAAAACCAAGGGCTGACATTTGAAAGTTACATTTTGTAGAAAAGAAAACAATTTTTTAATATTTGTTTAAAACTACCAGCCACCCTAGCACTTAATTTAATTACAGAAACAGCTAGTTACTGCTTTAATGAACCCTCACATTATCAAATTGTGGCTTTAAAAAGAACCTCTAGAATGTAAAATAATAAATGCAACCCAGATGTTCACTGAAAAATGAAAACAAGATTGTTTTTATTTCATAGCAACCAAATAGGTCAACCCATTTCCTCCTCCAGAGAATTCTCAGAGGACCACAAACTCCACGCGGAGAGCATGTGTTTCATATGTATCTGTCCACACAAGAAGGAAACTGCCGTCCAAAACAAACGGAGAACATAACATGTTCCCATGGAAGCGGGTCTGAGGCTGCGGCCAGGCCCTGCCTGCACGGTGCCAGACATCTGGATGAAGACTGGAAAAGAAATCGCTAATTACCCAGATATTGGGAAATACTTCTCCATCATCATTAAAATGTCCAGTTTTTATAGCAAGCTGCTGTTTTTATAGATCAATTACAGGACTAAGCTTTCCAAGAGGAGGAGGCAGTAATTAAAAATAGCTCGGCCAAGGGTTTCCGATGGGCTGACTGTCCCGTCCGAGCAGGGGTCCCGGTGTCTTACCGAGAACACGTCAGCTCGGAGTACATCTGCTCCGCGGAGGTAAGCTACAAACTCTTCCTGGCCAACCCGCGGGACTCAGGTGAGCCTCTTCTAAGACTTACGTGATGCTGAGAGATGCTTATCAAAAGCAAACAAGCGCGTGCTGAACTGCCTGCAGCCAAACCGTAGGACACTGCAGAGTCGCATGCCCCCTCCATTCTGTCTACCGGGGCATTGGCATTCACTGTGAAAAGTGTATAAGCTTAACTTCAAAGGTCAGGACGGGGACCATGTATTTTCTTCTCTTAACCTTCACCTGAGGACATGCTGAGGGGGACATCCATCAGGTGCCTTCCTTGCACCTTACGCTTCCCAACTGGCAATCAAACCCACAAGCCAGGCCTGTGCCCTGACTGGGAATCGAACTAGCAACCCTTCGGCACACAGGATGATGCTCAACCCACTGAGCCCTCAGGCCGGGCAGACACACGTATTTTCTACTCTCACTTACGAGTAACTATTTTCCCCCAATTTCAAAGTCTTTTAAAACAGCTTTTAGGAAACTTTGGTAAAACCTATTTTTTCACTTCATTTCACTTCAGAAGTGTCAATAGTCCTGCTTCCCAAAGGCTCTGCCAGTAACTCCCTCGAACTAAGCTCTCCCCCGGCGTTATTCACCCGTGTGTGTGCCGGCGGCGTGGCTGCTCTAACTCACCTATGGGAAGCAGGCTGGCCTCCACCAGAAGATTCGCTGAGAAACGTGTGGTTCCCTTTTCCCCTCTCAGTCCCCAGGGCGCTGGCTTCCTTACCTCTCCTCTTAACAAACTCCCATGAAGGGCCATGGCACATGCTTTCGTCCCGCCAGGAGCAATCTCCTTAGCCCACTGTGGCCTAGCCTGCCTTCTCTACACCTTTCACCAAACTGGATGGTTTTTAAAAAAATATGTTTTATTGATTTCAGAGAGGAAGGGAACGGAGAGAGAGATAATCACTGATCAGCGGCCTCCTGTATGGTCTCCGCTGGGGATGATCGAGCCCCCAACTGGACATGTGCCCCGACCCGGAATCGCACCGTGACTTTCTAGTTCATAGGTCGATGCTCAACCACTGAGCCACGCCGGTTGGGCCAAACTGGTTTTCCCAAGTCACCAAATCCAGGAGACACTGTCCTCATTTCCCTCGAACTCTCGAGGACATTCAGCACAGCTGGCCACACTCCCGCTCCCTGAGCACCGGCAATACCGCACAGACCTCCCGGTCTCCTCCACACACTGCGACCGTCTCTCCATCTCCTTCGCTGGGTTGTCCTCAGTCCCGGGGTTTTACTCCTGCCCCTCAACTCTCCCCACCACGCGATCTCATTCATCCCTCCCCGTGACTTGAGAGTCGTCTCCATGTTCCTCTCCTACCCAGACGCGTCTTCTAAGCCACAGACCCACACGCAGCAACTGCCTCCCTGCCGGCCCCACCGGGATCGCTCCCGGGCACGTCCAGCCTTGAAGACCAGACGCGAACTCCTGGGACCCACTTCTGGTAACAGCTGACGGGCTTGCTGCAGACCAGTCCCTCCGCCAAGGACATCGGAAAGAGCCGAACAAATTACAAGCAGCAACTGCCCGAGGCATCGGAGCACTACCCACGCAGCCAGGACTCGGGAGCCCCATAACCGGAGCCACCTTTCCCCTCGACACGTTTGCCGACTCACAGCAGAAACTGAGAGGTCTAAAGCGAAGCAGGAACAAGTGGCTGAGAATCTGAGCAGGAGGCCGAATCTCCCGCAGTCTTAGGGGGCTGGGGGGCAAGAATTAGAGCTGGGGGGCTGCCAAGTAGAAGAGGGCCTGGGAACACCCTGGCTATGAGCTAGGCCCACCGGAGAGCTAGACTCGGAGAAGGGTAAACCAGAGTAACCCGACCCTCACAACCTTAAAGTGATATTTCCCTCCTTAACTGCCTGCCAGAAGGCTCTCTGAGGGAAGAGAGCCAGAGTCTCAAATTCTCTCTTCACATTGTCACACACATTGTGACAATTTAATTAAAGTTAACAGGCGCCCGGCCAGTGCTGCTCAGTAGTTGAGCACTGACCCATGAACCAAGAGGTCACTGGTTCAATTCCGTCAGGGCACATGCCCGGGGTTTCAGGCTCGATGCCCAGGTTGCAGTTTCTCCCTCATCGCTGTTTTTATCTCTCTGTCCCTCTCCCTTCCTCTCTCCCTAAAATAAATTTTAAAAACATTAAAAAAAAGAGAGATAGCTTAACAGGCAATCTAAAATCAAGATAATATGAATGAAAACCAAGGGTAAAATAGATAATGGAATATGTGTCAGACAGACTTACAATAATTGTAATTAAAGTTGTCAAGATGAAATGTTTTAGCAGAAAAGAATTAGGAGAACTGAAAAAGACAATAAGTGAAATTAAGAACTTAATTGACAGGTTTAACAGCAGATTAAATAGAGCTACAGAGAAAATTAATACACTGGAATATAGGTCAGAAGAAAATACACAGAGTGGAGAATGGAGAGACGGAGACAGGAGTCTGAGAGACATACAGGACATGATGAGAGAGAGTCCACGAAGGAGAACAGATAAGGAAAGTAGCGAAAGGAGAGATAATGACCAAGGACACTCCATGTGCTGCCCAAAGCAAGAACCACCACCAGTCAACCCCAAGCAGCACAGACTCAAAGAAAACCACACCTGGACGCGTCACAGTAACACGGCTGAAAACCAAAGGCAAAGCAGCCAGAGACACAACGCCTTCAAAAGAACAAGGCAGCCCGGCCGGTTTAGCTCAGTGGACAGAGCTCCAGCCCGCGGACTGAAGGGCCCTGCGTTCGATTCCGGTTCAGGGCACGCACCGTGGTTGCAGGTTCCCCCGCCCTGGTCTGGGCACATGCCGGAGGCAACCAATCGATGTGTTTCTCTCACATCGATGTGTCTCTCTGTCTCTCCCTCCCCCTTCCACTCTCTCTGAAAAATCAATGGAAAAATATCTTCGAGTGAGGATTAACCAAAAAAATAAAAGTTGCTTCTAAAACAAAAAAGAAAAGAAAAAAAGAACAAGACATACAGCTGATTTCTCAACAGAAACAACGGAAGCCAGAAGCCAAAGAAATGACATGTCAGAGCACCTACAACTGTACACCCAGTGACAATATCCTTTAAAGTGCGGGCAAAATAATGACATCTTGACAAGAAACACAAACGGACCCTCCGAATGGCGTTCTCTCCATCGCTAAGTAGCAGCACCGCCCACACAGACGCACAGCCAGAAACCTAGACATGGATTCCCACAGTTCCTTCACCTCCAACCTCCAAGCTGTCGCGTCCATTTGATTCTCCAAAAATACATCTCGCGGCTCGCAAAGCAATGCAAATTAAAACGGCACATCGCTCTCACGCGCAGGCAAGCGCCAAGAGCCGATCAGCATGCTGAGGGCTCCCAGGGAGGAAGCAATCTGTCCGTATCTAGGGAAACCGAGAGCAAACCTGGATCCCGCAACCGCGATGCTAGAGACACGCTGGAGACGAGCTTTCGCGCCTCCGCAAGAGGAAGCGAGGCTGAGGGCCCACCTTACTGTTTGTAACAACACGCGTGATCAACACTAAAGGCCAACCCAGGGCGAGGTCAACAGAACGTTACAGGGGCTGAAAGAAGAAACAGGGGCTACCACTCTCAGCTGAAGCCCAGCCCCTGCTTCCTCACTGGTGTCCCGGTCCTCTCATCCCTCCTCCAACCAACTGTCCGCTCCGTAGCCAGGAACGCTCTTCTTAGAGGCTTTGTGCTCAGGGGCTACGAATATGGCCCCTGAAGCCCAAATGCCTGGGTCCGAATCGCAGCTCCACCCCCTGCAGGCTGGGAAAGTTGAAGCAAGTCACTCAGCTTCCCCACGCCTCCAGGCTCCACTCTTTACTGTAAATATTAAGAACCTAAGAGGGTTGCTTTGAAGAATGAGCAGGTTAACTCTGTAAAGCACACAGGGCAGAACCCAGCACAGAGCAGATGTAAGTATTAGCTACGGTCACTGAAAGGTAATCCATGTCATTCTCCTGCGGAAGACCCTTCCCTTCTCACTGAAGCCACCTGAGGTGGCCCCGGGCCTGTCCCCCCCCTCCCCCCTTCATTCTCTGCTCAGGCCACAAAGCTTCAAGCCTCTGGGCACACTCAGCTCCCTCCAGCCCAGTACCTGCCCTCTGCCCGGTCACTATACCGTTCAGGTTGCCTCTGAGAGGCTTCCCCCACCAGGCCTTCCCTGGCCACCTGGCTGTGCCCACACTTCTCCTGCCCCCCAGGCCCCACCCTCCCTCACTCTCCCCTCAGCCCCACACAGATTCCCTTCAATACACTGCATAATTTGCATCCGTTTTACATATCCCTTTCTGTCTGTCTCCCATCTAACAGAAGCTCCATGTACAGGGGCAATTCACCTGCCGTGTTCACCATGCTCCCTCCAGCCGAGCACAGGACCGGCATGGGTGGGGTGCTGTCAATGCTCGCTGAGTAAGTAAACACTCCAGGAAAGAAAGCGCTCAGCGCTCTCAGGGCGCCTGCCAGTCACTGCGAACGCTCCAAGGAATGACGGTTATTCTGTCCTGTGCACAGTCTGGAAACGCAGCCCTGTCGTTATCACTTTCTACATGTTAAAGGGTGTTTTCCTACCAGTTACTGCTGCTCGGTGAAACGGTTTGCCCACTTGGGGAAAAGTAAAGGCAGACTTCAACTTCTATTTCAAAATAATTTAAAGCACAGAGCGAGAAGTTTCCTCTGCACCCACACTCCCACCTGCCCAGTTCCCATCACCCTCCCCAGCAAGTAACCCTGTTATTGGTTCCTTGTATAGCCTTCCCGAGAATTTGCATGCACTTCCTCTCTCTCTCTCTCTCTCTCTCACACACACACACACGGAAATGGAAGCACACACTGGACATTTTCCCACACTTGGCTTCTGTAACTCTCTAATGAATCCATACGGAGCCTCTGGTTCCTTTCCACAAGCTCCCCACTTCGCTCCCCACCTGTGCGAGGAAGGGTTATCCGGCCAGTGTCCTGAGGGGCCCTCCAGTCGCTTCCCACCGTTTCCTGTCACCAACAAAGCAGGGAATCATCTCGTACCTGTGGTATCTCACACATGCACACACATACCTGCAGGTTAAATTCCTAGACCTGGCCTGGCTGGGCCAAAGGATTGTTACGTCTGTCACTTTAAAAGCTGCTGTCCGATGCCCCTTTATTGATGGGATTCACCCACAGAAACACAGTTCCTCTGAGCAGCTGAAATAAGGGAATATCATACAAGGAATTGGTTGCGCGCATGACGGAGAAGCTGGACGTGAAACTGGAAATGGTAAGGAATGCACACATGAGCAAGAGCTGGACGCCGCGACCACCGCTAAGTTGGAGGGTCAAAGGGAGGAGGTATTTTCAAAGCTAGGGCCTCGGTCAACTGGCCCGCACGAGCTGGAGCAAAGGAGACCGAGCAAAGGAGAGGCACTGAGGCAGAACCGAGGCGAGAGAACCTCCCCCTGCCAGCCTCCCACCCGAGGCCCCACTGGCCAAGCCCACCCCGAGCCAGAGGGCCCACGGGTTTGGGAAATGCTGCCTGCGGGGCCAGGCCGTGCCCAGGGGGAGCCAACATGACCGGGCTGGCGCTGCCTCCTTAAGAGCCGGAACTAATTGACACTCCCGTGGCCAACAGATGCTTTCAGACGTGGGGGTTGTGGGGGTTGTCGCTTGCCTGACAGGTGAAACCCGGGCCCCCCACCTTGTGGTCATGTATTTTACTGAGTGAGGCTGAGCCTCTTTTCACGTGAGAGACAGACTTAATCGTCATCTGCACAGACTGGCGGGGAGGGGGAGGGGGATGAGGAGAAAGCCAGCAAAGTCCTTCACCTCCTCTGCCACAGATGGTCCATTCAGGAACATCAATCAGACAGATTCCCAAACTGAGCGCCATGATGCTGGCAACGAGCCGAACCGGCCAGTCACCTGCCAAGTAGAGACACATCTCAAGAACCGTTTTAGAAAAACTGAATGGCAACCAAGCCCCAAAGGAACCAGCCATACCTTAACTGCACCCTGCACGCACTGTAAGCAACAATGTGTTCTTGTAATCTCATCCCCCCCACTTCCTCCTTGGCACTGCCTTCCAACCATTCATGCCACCCTCCCCTCTCCTTATCTCACACTGAGAGAACAAATAATAATACCCTGGACCAAATTTAAATTATGAAAACAGCAAGTAGGAGTCATTTTTAAAAAGTCTTTTAACACAACCAGCACATTAGCAAAAAGAGCTTTTAAGTTATCTGTCGCCCCGGCTGTAGCTGTTTGAATAGATTATTTACCCCGTCTTGTAAACAACCCGAGACTGACTTCCCGTATACAGTGCTGTGCGATTACTCTGAAATATACCCCCCCAAAAAGTGATGTTTTACAACTGCTGGCAAATGACTTTCTGGCCTTTCCGAAGGCCGTACTTTATTTTCTAAAACATGAATTTTATTGTTTATTTTTAACGTATTTTTTATTTATGTTTTATTGCTTAAAATATTAAAAGAGTAGTACATATGTTTCCTTTTTATTTTCCCCCTTGACCTTCCCCCGACCTCCCCGACCCCCCAGTGTCTTGTGCCCATTGGTTATGCTTACATGCATGCATACAAGTCCTTTGGTTCATCTCTTACCCCCAACCCCTAAAACATGAATTTTAAAGCAAAGCATTATTTTTGGAAATATAAATGGTAGTAATAACTAAAGAAATGTAAAGATGTTAATTTCAAACTCTCCAGTAATCAAGTTATATATGAGCACGCCTAATGCATACAATCATCACTTATTCAAAAACCTACTTATCCTAAGATTGCCAAACATATTTGTAAGTGTCTTCCGTAATGCAAGGAAGAAAGATCTTAATAAACCGTATCAGTAAAGGTTCAATGTTGTTTCCCAGGCCCCAGCATGCTGCCTGGCATCTTAGTAGACAATCAGTAAGTTACCTGTTCATTCTCGACTGTTTCATGAGCTGGATTAAGTCACACATTTAAATAATCAGACCCTTTTCCTACTGCAGGGAACGTTTTTTATAAGTTCTTTCGTTCAAATTTCAAAGTAATACACATCACTCAGAAACTTGAGTACAAAAATTAGTCAATAAAACACAGTACCACTATTTTTACACTGTTTAGACCATGATATATAGAACTGCTTTGTTTTTTAATGGTTGTAAAACAATTCATCCAATAAACTTCCCACAGTCTACCTCACCCGTCTCCTACTGGGCACTGCTGTTTCCAATTTTCCACTATTAGAGTGCAATGCACATCTTCCCACATGAAGTCTTTCTTCTGAATTTCAAGATTGTATTCCCAGGAGAGAAAGGAACCGCCCCAAGAAAGTCTTAAGACTTTGGATACTTTTAACACCATCCTTTGTTATGGTACTAAAGGCCTGTAAACTGCTGGGCCCACTGGATGGATTCCTTTTCTAAATCTTTAAACCTACTTTTACTTTCAAGCCTTCTGCATTCCTTGACTCAGAGTCAGAAACGACTCCCAAACAAAACTACCAACAGGGTACACAGTCTACTAGTACAACGTGGTATAGCTAGTAACTATGTGTGGTGCCAGGTGGGCACTAGAATGACCAAGGGATCACACTTCGTAAATTATATAACTGCCTAACCCAGGGGTGGGCAAACTTTTTGACTCAAGGGCCACAATGGGTTCGTAAACTGGACCGGAGGGCCGAAACAAAAGCATGGATGGAGTGTTTGCGTGAACTAATATAAATTCAAAGTAAACATCATTACATAAAAGGGTACGGTCTTTTTTTTTTTTTTAGTTTTATTCATTTCAAACTGGCCGGATCCGGCCCTCGGGCCGTAGTTTGCCCACAGCTGGCCTAACCCCTATGCTGTACACCGGAAACAAATACAAAATACTGAATACCAACTGTAATTGAAAAATAAAAATTTGGGGGGGAAGGTACATCATGTGTTTTTTTTTTCAAATATATTTTATTGAGTTTTTACAGAGAGGAAGGGAGAGGGATAGAGAGTCAGAAACATCAACGAGAGAGAAACATCGATCAGCCGCCTCCTGCACACCCCCCACTGGGGATGTGCCCCAACCAAGGTCCATGCCCTTGACAGGAATAGAACCCAGGACCCTTCAGTCCGCAGGCCAACGCTCTATCCACTGAGCCAAACCGGCCAAGGCGGTACATCATGTTTTTAAACTTGAAAATGGGTGAGATGTTTTTATTTTGAAATCCAGATTCCCCAAAGGAAATTTCACCACCCGGGTCACACACGTCTCAGCCTTTTTCAAGCCAAGACTGACTCACGATCGTCCACAGTTCCTAAGATTGAGCACATAAACAAAAATAAAACTTTGTAAATTAAAAAAAAAGAAAAATTTAAAAAAAGATGTTTGTCAAACATCACAAAACTTTTTTTGAAAATATAAATAGAAGTAAAAGTCAGCCATAACACACACCACCGCCCCCAAAAAGTCACCAAACCAGCTGGCCACTTGGCCTCAAACGCCCAACGCTTCCCTATTCCCGCTGCTGGTCTTCATTTTCTCACCAGGGGCAGCCGCGGGGAGCCGTGCTGCACCCCCACTCCGAGCGCCCCAGGCAAGGGCTGCAGGCGGGCCGCCTGGGGGAGGGCTGCCAGGGAGCGGCTTCCTGGGGCTCCT